GGAAGCATCATCCTGTGCCCCTTGGGCCGCCCCGGACCTGCCGCCTCTAGAGACGGAAGGCCGGCCGGGAGCTCTCCAGCCCGCCTCGCCCGCCTCTCGGGTGGCCTTTAGGTATTCGCAGAAAACTGCTTTTGGAAAACGGAGCCCTTTCAAAAAAAAAAAAATTGCCAATATAAGCTGGATCTGAAATAGCCCGTTAAAAAGGCTGGCGTGACACATGAGAATTTGGCATGGGCCGCTTCTCTTTTTTATGCATCACACACTGGAGCTCTTAAACAGTGGCTGGACATACATTTTTTTTCGTTGTTGTTAAAGAGTATCATAGACCCATAAAGTTCGGAGGGGCCTAGAAGGCCATCAAGTCCTGCTCGATGCAGGAATACAAATCAGAGCAGATGCTGTATAACAGAGGACTGTCCAGTTTTCTTTTGGATGACTTCAGCGTTGAAGCACTCACCAGCTCACCCTGAAGCCATTGTCCTACTTCTCTAACAGTTAAGAGGTTTTTCTTAATACTTAGCTGAAATCTGGTTTGCTGTAACTTAATCCCATTACAGTATTAGGTATCATGCACTCTCAGATGATCAAGAAGAGATCCTGCCTCTTCTCTGTAGGACAGCCTTTCAAGTCTTTGAAAAGTGCTGTCTAATCTCCCCTCGATCTTTTTTGAAGCTAAATACTGTATGCCCAATTTTTTCAGTCTTTTCTCGTGTTTTCTATGATTCCTCTTATTACTTAGCATGTTACTGTTTTGAAATTTAAGATGGAGTAAAAATAACAAGATCCCACCTGAATGTTTAAAAGTGGGCTCAAAAACGTGCTCCTCCCCCACCTGCGTGGCCACGCTCCACTTTGACAGGCTGCCTCATGCCCAGGTTCCATGGACTGGGCTGGGACAAATCCTGAGACGAGAGGTGGCCCCGCAGAGGCAAAGATGGGTTTCCTTTCTAGAGGTGGCCTTCGCCTCCTAGGAAGGAGCGTTGTCTCTTTTCCTGCAGAGGTTTTAGCTCCGTCTTCACTTGCAGCCAGCTTTGCTGTCTTTATGGTGCACGGAGGCCTCCGCGGCAGGTGGGGAAGGTTCCCTCACCTCCCGTTCTTTTCCTCCTGTCCTCCAGGTATTCCGGCAGCCATGCCCGCTTCTCCTGCTTCCTGCGGACTCCCAGCCACCTGGCCAAGCCACCCCCAGCGGTGGTGCTGCTCTTTCCCCGCCGGCCCCTCCCACTGGCCCGGCTGGCAGCTGCACTGGCAGGACCAGCCTTGGTGGGGCTGGCAGCTGGGTTTGGCAGCAGGGTGCTCTGCCAGGGGGCCAGAATGGCAGAGGTGGTCTGTGCCCTCCCGCCAGCAGAGAAGGAGCCAGACTTTGACTGGGCCATGTTCTGGAAGTTCGTGCGTCCGCAGCTGCTGGCCCTGACAGCGGCTGTCTTGGTGAGCATCTCGCCTTCCTCTCTTTCAGTTGATGGGAGGTGCTGTGTCTCTTGCAGAGGATGGAGGGGGGGGTGGAATAAATCCACAAAGGTGTGGCCATCGCAGGGGTGAGAGGGTGGGCAGAAGAACAGGCATTGACGAAGATAACCGGTCACGTGAGTAGGAGTCCAGTCTGGCCACTGACAGCTTGAAATGACCACAGACCTAGAGAGCGGAAGGGGCGGTGGCGAGTCTTGCTGAGCAGCTTTGCCTGCCTGAAGGACCCTCCCGTTTGACCTCCCTCCCTCCCTGCCTCCAGTTTGCACTGGGAGCCGCACTCCTCAACATCCAGATCCCTCTCCTCCTTGGCAAGCTGGTGAACGTGGTGACGCAGCACATGCGCGTGTCTGATTACCTGCGTGTCGTGCGTGAACCTGCCCTGCGCCTGTTGAGCATCTACGGCCTCCAGGTGGGTGCCAGCTGATGGCGGTGGGGCTGGGAGGGGCCTTTGGGCAGAGAGGATTGAGGTCTCTTGCCTTCAGAGGCTGCCCTGCGGGCGGGCGGGGGGAATGGAGGTGGGAAGGGTGACTGAGGGATGTTCCTTTTTTTTTCTTCCCACACCTGCTCCAGGGGGCGATGACCTTTGGATACATCCTGCTGCTTTCATGGATTGGAGAGAAGGTGGCCGGCAGCATGCGGAAGCAGCTCTTTGCCTCCTTGCTTAGGTAAGCGGACTGGGAATGGCTGCAGGTGAAGGGGACTCCTCTGGCATGAGGTGTGGGCTTCTAGAGCCAGAGCCAGAAGAGGCACCTTATGAGCAAAAACAGTGGGGAGGGGATAGAGCGTGAACAGCATCTTGGAGAGGCTGTGTTGTTCAACACAAAAACGACACCGTCTGAACGGAATCTGCCCTTGCTCTTGTTGTCTCCAGTAAAGTAGGTAAAGCACAGGTGCACCCTAGCGTCGCATTCCTAGGGCGTCCCCCCTCTCAAAAGCTGCCCCCTCCAAACATAACAGGATTCACTGACTGGTAAATGGATGTAAGATTGTGGGCTGAGCCGTACCCAGGTGCTCCAGGAACTTAGATTCGGTCCCTGCCCATTTAAAAATCTGGCTCTGGGAAAGTTGCAAGGCGGAATTGCTGGGAGGAAGGAATGCATCGACAGTGTAGAGCCGGCAAGATGTCACGGCAGTCATTCCTTTCTTCTGACGGACGAGTCCTTTGGCAGAAGAGAGGAATGGCCTGTGAGAGGGCCGGCCAAGGTAGCCCCGGGGGCCCCAGGGTCACTCTGGCTCTCCCCACCCTCTTTCTCAAGGCAGGAGGTGGCCTTCTTTGATGCCAACCAGACAGGGCAGCTGGTGAACCGCCTCACGGCCGACATCCAGGAGTTCAAGTCCTCCTTCAAGCT